ACTAAAAGCACCATCGACCCCAGGCACAGAAAGTCTAAGGGTCCTCCTGACCCAGGCAGCACCCGAACCAAAAGCACCGCCCAGCCTATAATGCCACAGCATTTAAACGCGATGGACAAAACGGCCAAACATGCAGCCCATTTTGTGATACCTTTTTTGTTGATTTTATACGTAGCTTTGCGTGAGCCTTTTTGCTTCTATTTTTGTGAAAAATTTGTATTTTGTATTTCGGGTTGATCTTGCTCTCTAAATTACGCACATAGAAAGGTAGATAGTTGAGCTAGTTGATAGTTGTACAATATAGTTTTTCTGCATGTATGTTACTTCTTTTTGCCCTTGTCTTATAGCGCTGTTTTCCACTAATCAAGTTTACATAGATGCGAAATGTAGCATGCTGATGCGTGATATTACCCGCTGTAATAGCGCCCATTGGAATAATAAATATTCCAATCGGCGTTCAACACATTCAAAACGGCGCTTGACTGAAACTTCACATGCCAGTGTAATACGATCTGCGTTTAAATTAAGTCTAAATTCATGAACGAAGGAAACCAAATTTCGGTGAATTCATCGGTGATTTTTCTCAGCAAGGCAATGGCAAAAGTCAGGGTTATCCATTTCAGTATGCAAACCCCGGGTTTCCGAATATTTTCAGGACGAATAAAAGGACGGGGGAGCAATATTGTGTTGATTGCGCTGCGGTTAACTGTTCACTAAGCCATCTGATGCGCAAGTCATCACGTATCGAAAGAAGGCTTGAAGAAGATGACGACTAAAAACACTCTGAGCAGACAAAAGCTATCGTAAAGATGAATGCTCCAACCTGTGCAATTGACCTCAAGGGCTATGTACGAATGGTTAGGTATATTCAGACGTCATTTCAGTAATTTTCTCAGGCGTCACACCCGCTAGTCGGGCTGCTTAGTTTCAAAAATCAATGGGTCTGGCTTCAAGGACATCACAGTGTTTTTTACAAGCTAAAGTATGTTTTGACATCCGGCCCGTTATTGACCCTGTTTGACCCAGAAAACCAAATGTACTTTCTAGGGTTATTTATTTGGGCATTCCCATAGTGTTAGGCCAAAAGCAAGAAGATACAATCTAAGACATTAGGGGCACGTTTCAAGGAAACTCAGTGTAACAGAGCCATAGTACACACAAATTGGAAAGGAGGAACTGCCCCCCCCCCCCCCCGGGTAGGGCCAGTTCCTCCTTGTATATTTTAGAATGTTGGTCACCGAAATAAAAACACTGATTGAAATGGGCCCACTCCGCTGGCTCGTATATTCTGTCGCAAAAATGTGAAAGGGTATCACGTCAAGGCCACAGCGGATGAAACCTTGTCTTATACGGTCTTTGTATGACATCATGCAGGTTCCTGCAGGCACGCAGTCCGGATGACTTTCTGTCCAAAAATACCCAAGAGAAAATATGAGAAAATGAAATCGAGGACGAGATCTCGGCATACGTGCAATGTCTCACTGCACACTTTCCTGGAACCGAATAAAAAGCTGAAAGATATTTAACTTCACCACCAAAAAGATACCATATGTCAACTTTTGGTACGATTCAGCATAGTAGGCTGGCCAACGAAAAATCGGTTCAATCAAGAGAGTGGCTATTGGCGCCCAATATGTTGTAAAAGATGGGCACAAGATGTGATTGCCAAGGCAAGAATCCAAGTCCTGCACAGTATACACCAAGGAAACCATGGCATTGTTAAGTGCAGAGCACGCACCCGTGCATCCGTGTGGTTGCCAGGTTTTTTAAAGCAGATATAATTTCTAGAAAATGAGCACAATGCATTAAAAAAAAACAATTAGTTGATGGGAGCTTTTCACACGTACTCTCTTTAGTGAGCGGCCTTCGCATTAAGTAACTGTGAACCTATTCTACTTGTCAAAGAGGTGCTAGCGGACATAATTACATTAGGAACCGCGAAATTGATTTTTGCCGAGCAAAACAAAAATTTAAAAAATTGCTAATATCTTAACGCTTGTTTTAAAAGAATAATACCTACCTCCTCTGTAAATAACCCGCCCGGTGTGAATTATCTCCCATTTATTGCTCAAAATTTAAAAATACATACTCTTGTTATCTCTGCCCCTGCGGACCTAAGGTGCTGTGTTGCCATCACGGTTGTCTGGGTACTTGCTGATTAGGGCGTCTATGTCTCCTTAGGAATTAGCTCGTCTATGTCATCACCATTAGGGCGTCTTTTTTTCTTAAAAATTTGTGTTCATGTCATTACCGTTATAAGGGAACTGCGCGAGTTTTGTTCACAGCATTAGGAGACACTGGCATGGGTTGCCAATGTTCAACAAGTTTGATAAATTAAAACAACCTGCCGATAATGCCTTTTTTACTTTGAACATCAGCATTGCCGAAGTTTATGGGCCGTTAATTGCGCTATTTAACCGCAAAACGGACACCCTTCTCCCTGGATGTTGTAAACTACAACGGAGTTCACCAACTTGTCTTTAGAATTGGTTTACCTACCTTCTTTGTTCTCAAATGTTACTTTCACTGAAATAAGGCTTTCAGCAGAGGTCACTAAGATGTCTTCAAGCGCGGGAACATCGGTCGCCTTTGTGAAAAGCAAACAAAAACCTTCACCATGCAGTATTCATAGAGAAGTGTAAACTAGATAAAAATAATAAGCCATAATACTATGCCTTGTACGTTTTGTATTTTTTTTGTTCCTACTTAATTGGGCACAAAGAATTCGCCCCAGCAGGTCGAAGAGACAATTTCACTTACTATTTTGACATTTGGCTACGGCAGTGGTAACATGTGCGAAGAGGTCACCCCGATGTTTCCCGACAACAAACGTGTCTGACGCATCACGTCAGTGTACCGTCTCATTCGCCCTTATTCACAAATAACTTTTTGACCAGAACCAATATGAGTGCCGCACCCCACCCGTCCTACTCGACTGACCTGGCCTTCTATATATATTTTCTGTTCCGCCAACTGAAGTTGTGGGAGCCGAGGGTGAAAGACGAGGCAGAGGACACGTGACAGGCGGTCGGCGGAGGAGTCACGAGCTGGCGGGAGACAGTGCGGGCTCAGCGAGGCTGAACCTGGGCAAGAACGTCGGAGCCGGGCTGCCTGGCCTGGCCCATGGCGAACCCCGGAGCGGTCCACCAGCGAGGTCTGGAGCAAGACCGGTGGAAACGGCGAGCCCTGGCCATATGACCTGGGCCGCGACGATCCCGGGGTGGTTCCGCAGCGAGACTCGGGTATTGATAGCCCGGGACAGACTACCCACGCAGCGCTGGCGTGTGAAGGACGATTCGCAGGCCTGGACACGAACTTCGACTGTGAGCTCTGATCGATGGGCGGCAACAAGGGTCGGCGTGCCCGGACTGCCGGTCCTCGACGGCGGGCAACCGGGAGGTGCAGTAAACCCATTCGCTGTCTTCTCGTTGTTTTATGTCACTCCCTGGGTGACGTGCGGAGCGCATACCGATCGGGCGGTGATTGTTAGTACAGGGATCTCCATAAAGAACCCCACAAGTCCAAAAGCTCTTGGTTTCACCCGATGGCGATAATTCAAGCAGAAACGCCTATAGTGCTCGATGCCCCCCCCCCCCCCCCCCCCCCCCCCTCCCCTCTCCAAACCAAATTCCACGATGCACTCCAAAAAGGGTATACATTCATGCTTCGAACGGCATATGTGTGTGGTTGGGGGACTACTTTGAGAGCGCGGGTGTCCAATAGGTACTAGCTCTACTTTTACACAGATGACAGTACCGACACGGAAAAGTTTGGATACCACCGTAGTCCCTCGTAGCTTTAGAGACGCGAGGTGTGGTGAGTTCTGAGCATGTCATTGTCCCTCCACAGTTGATGAGATAACACCATTAGCCAATAAGGACGCCAAAAGAACGAAATACGAGGCAAGAAGTGTGGACACAAGCCACGCACAGCGTTTGGTCAGTAGCCATGACGCAAGGAAATCGATAATGAACTGACAACCAGCTTCGAAAAATCACGCAGTTTCAGCTCGAAAGGAACGTCTGTCTATTCAGTGGAGACAGATGTCTCCACTCAGTGGAGAAGGGGTGAGCATTGAGGTCACCCCTTCAGCATGGGTGAGTTCTTGGACGCTCTAGCGAAAGCCAGAGCGAAAGCGAAAGCCTTGAGGGGGCGTGTTTGCTGTGTTCTAGGCTTAACGCAACTAGGTGGTCGCAGGACTTTGCACGGGAAGATATAAAGAGAGTCCGGATTATATGTAATAGTAATTGCCGTCAACACTGCAATTCTATTATAACCCCTAAAACAAATAATCAAAATGTTAATTAACCTTTTCTAGTTAATTATTCAGCTTACCGTGACGATTATCTCCTCATCTAATATCCGCAAGCGCAACTAATCTACCTCGCATACCCTATTTAGAAAAAAAAATATTTAAATACCTGGTATATTAGGATAAATTTAATGATTTTTGGCATCTTAATTTGGAATTGGTATGGTTACATGTTTCGTTATGATGACGTTCGCTTCGGTTTTTTCCGAGACGTCTGACAACTCCGTCCTCTCACTACCTGCAATCGCGCACAGAAATCTTTACTAACGAACCTACCGAGAAATTTTGTAGCTTGTCGTCTTCTATTCCGCGAATTCTCCAGCGCGCATGTTTCATGCGCGCTGGTGAGCAATGAACAATATCAGCAGCAAACAACATAAAATGTAAGTTATTATGGATGTACCCTTCCTTCGCCTTTACTTTCGCGAACATTTTGTGCATACACGAGTTGTCTTGCGGATATTTTTTTTTTTTATTTCACTAGTGGCTTTCAGAGAATCATGAAAAACAAAAATTGAAGCTAGGCTCAGCCCACATGAAGAACATCTGGACCAAAAGAAAAGCTTTTGCGTAAAAAAGCACAGACCGCAAGTGAAACATACAATATATGTATTGTTTAAATACCAAAGATGCCTTGACTTGACCCTCGACATTATATTAAGGATAAGCTTTAAGTTCAGCAGGAATTAAGCGCCTTTTTATTCGGTGCGTTTGCTGTCAGTCTCCGCAAACTGAGGGATCATTCAAGGAAGGTGAGGAAAGTGCATACCGTCATGAAGTTGGGAATTCCGAGCTCTCTTGTCATCATTGGTATGTACTACACATGATAATTTTCGAGGCATGATCATATATTTTCTAACTAAACAAGGTGCGGATTTGATATATGCTTCTGTCTGGGTATTCTCGCAGCTTCGCAGTTTATACCTTGTTATGAGGAGTGCAGTGCAGCAACTCTTGAAAATTGACGACTCGATGGTGCGTCCCTGATCAGAATAGCTCTTTAGAGACGCTCCCTACCTCGGTACAGTGTTTGCAAGGAAGATTCGAGTGACGGTCTTTCCGTTGTATGTCTGAACTTGAACGTTTCGCGGCCGAAAGATTATTTATTTCTCATCATGCTGAAGTGCACAGCACATGCATTAAAAACACTAAAAAAACATAAAATACATTAATATTTCTCACTTTTCTTTCTTGCGTAAGAAACTTTAAGTCTACTAAATAAAGGCTCGCAAAATCGAGTCAATAATTTTATTAGCTACTATTAATACCTTGATGAACGCTCGCCATCGAAGGATTCCTACATCACATTTTTTTGCTTTCATCTCTTCAGCAGAGATCGGCTTTAATTAGATACTTTACTGTTAATTTTGCCAATTTTTTATATTTCTTTGATGCATAAAAATGTAGTAGGAGTTTGTGATAGTTTGTTATGCAACGAGCTATTCTGTCTTTTCAGTCGAGCGCCCCGGATTGAACTCTTTCAAAAGTGCGTGCCTTCCCTCAACTGCTGAGGTTATTGAGGCCGTCATATTTTGGATATGCACTTCGACCATGCAATGGGCGGGAGTGCTGCGACAGCGCTCGGCACCGAAGTCCAAATAATGGCGGCCGCCAGCGTTGCTTGATGGACGATTGAAAGAGGTTTTTTTTGCTCTAGATTTGACACTGCCATAACAGAGTCTGTAGAAGTCACTTTATATGACACATCTTTACATACATTGTTTCAGTGGTGATAGCTTCAACGAATTGCCAATTTCCCGACTTACATGTTCAATGGCCAAGGAGGGGAAATTTTACAATAAAGCATGGCTGCCCCCCGAGTCCCAGAACAGAAGCGGTGAGTTAATGTTTGTGACAGGAAAAAAACGAGAGGTTGCGCAATTTCTTTGAACCCTCTACTGCAGTAATTTGGGATTTAAGTATCATCTACATCTTATGCCTTCGACATCCGACGTTTGGCTTCCAGATTATAAATATGAAGACTATAGAACTACACAAACCAGCTCGCAGTGAGTTAGAGTTATTGGCATGTTAATCTATTAGAATTCCAAGCATTGATCTATGTCTCCGTACTCTATAAATTTGGAGTAACGATTCATGTTAATATCTGACACGTTTGTCACAAAACGCAACCAGGACGGAATGTTTTTTTTTTCTTGCTGTGCGTACACCTCTGAGACGACAGTGAGGGGTAAACCGCAATAATCTGCACATCACTTAGAATGGCAGCATTGCCCAATATAAAGTAAAATTATAAACAAAAGTCAAATCAACGAACGCAGTCTACTGTAATTATGCGCTGTCGTTTTAAACGGTCTTTGAAACTACTTTACTCAATGAAATGGTTCGCTTCAATAAACAAAATACAGTAAAACTAACCTGACTTTATTTATTTTTCCAGCTGTCGAAGAAGTACCCAGACTGCATATATTACTGCAAACAAAATGGTGACTGGAAATATGGAGTTTATAATCCCGGGACTAATTGCAGTGTGAGAATTATTTGTCTATAAGAACATCCTATAATCGCAACTTTACTACAGTCAGCGGAAGATGAGCACGGCAAGGAGGTCCTTCACTTTTCCCACCTTCACCTCAAGCTTCCTGCTTCCGATGACGCTTCCGCTTCTCTTTAGCTTCGAACTAGCCTGTGCTGAAGGCCAGGCATCCAGATGTGATTTTATTTTGTCAGCGACTAGGGTGTAACTTGTTTGTTGACACAAACATTAGCCACACATTCAATATACTTTACGAAGCCCCAGTAGTTGGTGAGCACAATTAAGAAGTTAATTTATGTGGTAGAGAAAACAGTTCATCCTGAATTGTCTTTTTGTCTAGTTCTAGAATTGATGGATTCCCGTACTGGAACTCCAATATATTTAAGTGATACAGACCATTGTGTTACCACGTGTCAACGTTTTTCAGAGTAGAAGCCCGGATATAGGCGAAAACTGTATTTCTATGTCAGCTATTAGTTAAGAGATCTTAGAACACGAAATCGGACTAATCTGACGTTAGCAAATAAAACGTGCAACTCAAGTAAGCTAAATAACTTATCTGAATTTGAATGACACCGCCTTCAAGTGTAAGCACGGGCTTCGCTGTTGGCGTTTAGAAGGCCTTTATGTCATAAACAAAACGTCGAAATATATTATAATTACTTACATGGACTTTGCATTAATTTGAGAGAGAAAACGAAAACGAGGCAACAATAGGGTGTTATGGAAATTTAGAATGCAAGGTAATAGTAAACGTTAGCGTTGATTTTCTTTTGTCATGCCTTTAAAAGCTTAAAGGTTGTGCCTTTTGTTCTGCTTTCTGTGCGAGCTTAACTTTCCTTTGTGCAGTATGGCCCCGACAAACGTCCAGGTTCCTGTTTCTTTGGATTGTGCTACCTGATTACCGAGACAGTCACCGACGTCACATCCTCAGAGGGTACACAAAGATCGACGGTAGAAAGTGGAACCACTCCCACACCTCCAGTAGAAACCGAAACCAACCTCTCACCTCCAGTAGGAAATGAAACTGCTGCCACAGCCTAAGTAGGAGATAAATCCACACCCCCACTTCCATTGGAAAATGAAGCCACACCGACACCTGCTGTCTGAAATATAACTACTGCCAACTCACGAGTGAAAAATAAAACCAACTGAAGTTACTCCAAAAAATGAGTGTTTTTTTAGCTTTACAGACTTGTTAGAAAAAAAGCCGTGAGAACTACACTTATGCGGTTTGTACAGAGGAGCTATGCGCCCAGAAGAACATAGTATTCGGGTAATTGCAACGATCAGTTTACTAATAAAGTATCATTTGTTATTAACTTTTTAACAAGTGAAAGTAGACATATGGTTTCCATTAGAAACTTGCTAAGCATAGTCGAAAACCAATAAATCAACTCTTTTTAGGAAGGCATAAGACAGGGGCAGCATTTTACTGCGTTCTGAAAAAACGCTCTCATTGGATGCGCTTTTAGATTTCGGCTTCTTATGGAAGCGTATCTTTGCGCCCGCGGTCCTGCTTCCTGGTTGTCGCGGCTCTAAGCGACCCCTTGCCTACCTCGTAGGCTGGACGGAAGCAGTGTGGATGTTTGTTGCGCGTCTCAGTCACTGGGAAACAGGACCGCGGCCGCAGAGATGCGCTCTGATAAGGAACCGAAACCTTGCGACGTAATGAAACGTTTTTTTTGTGTTCTTTTATTGCAGAACGCCGTAAAAAGCGGTTCCTTTGTTATATATTTATAATAAGAGTTGAATTAGTGGTTTTCGATGGCGCTGAGCAAATTTATAATTAGAACCATATTTTATCTATTTTCACTAATTAAAAAGTTATTTAACAAATGTTACGTAATTAGTCCACTGAGAGTTACGCTTAGCTCCCTCTACTATGTCCCCCTGGCCGTATAACTCGCCTGCACAAACCGCCTAAAAGTAGCGTTCATGGTTGTTTTTTGCTTTTTTAAAGCAAATAAAAAATACCCTGCATACGTCTATGATTGTTTCGCATAAGACGTGGGAACTTCCTGATTACCGCTGCCAATACCCACATAGTTTATGAAACGTGTGGTCCCAACGAATGTCGTTTATATAAATTGAGAACGCTGCGAGATTTTGTAACTTTTCATTGTACCCCCTGAAGGATAAATATTTCTGGGGCCCCCGCATGGAGTGTAACGCTTATGTCCACATCTGACTTCTATTTAGACTTTGCAGAGCCACGTCATTCAGCAAGTGTATTCGTAACTGTAGCTACATCCAACTCGTAATCAGTTATGCTATTCTAGGTTGTACGTTTTAACAGCGTCATAATTTTTTTTTTGCTCGTCTGGTTTGTCAAGTTAAACCTCTAGCGTGGCGGATGTCCAACTAGGCAGTTGTAAACGGCTTTCATTTTTTTTTTAAATAATAAGCCATGTGACCTTCCTCATACATGTAAAATTCATGAGGGTATTTCTGACCACGAAATGGTTGAAGTTAACATACCGGTTAAGAATAATAGAATTTCTAAAATGAAACTTGTAAGAGTACCGTATTACAAAAGGGCTGATGATGTGTCTATACGGGATTATTTGGAATTGTCACTTTTAGAAATACGAAAACTAATGTAAAAAAATCTTTGGATTAGTAGAAATATACTTCATTTCTAGCGTAAGATTGTCCGAGGGGAGAAAAAATAAGCGACATCATGCTGTACGTGCTCCTGGGGAACAACTTTCAGCTTAAGTGCCATACTAAAAGAAATGATAGCGGAGTCAAAACAATGTTTCTTTAACTTGACGTTGAGATCATTCCTATCACGTGCACCACATAATTTTTGGCGGTATGTCTCAACTTTAAAGCTGGAAGCATTGATAACCACTATAACTCTAAATGAATTCAACGCACTTTTCGAATCGATATTTACCGTGGATGACGGACGTCTCCCAGAGATATATCCCGACATATCTCCCGGCATCGACGACGTAGTGGTCTCGGAGGAGGGATTTTTTTCATTTATTAAAGGGACCATGAAACGATTCTGAAATCGAATTTCATCCTCCGATCGTCGTAAAAGGTGTGAAAAGAAACACAAAAACACAAAAATAGGGAGCCAAAAAAAATTCTTCGCCATAGAACTTTTCAAAGAAAACTGGACTCGTTTGCGCCTTCTTTCTTTCGAAAGCTCTCTGCCTTTTCACTGCGATGCATCCGCGGAATCGAAGTACGTCAGCCGAATCCACGTCGCCTATTGGGTAAGAGCCTACCTCACCAGCACCGCGATCGTAAAGAACAAATAGCCGGCGAATGTTTCTTAAAAGTTTTGTTAAATATTATTCACATCCACATTTTGTATCATAATTAGAGATGTGACGAAAATTTCCAAATTTGATATTGCTGGGAACCAAGCGCCATCTATCGTGTGGTAAACGAAGCGACTACAGCAGGGCCGACAGCGTCGTTCAGTTACTTGGCCACGACGACCAACGAACGTCTATTTTTGTACGTGTTCTTCTCGCGCGTCCCGACTTCAAGCAGCAAGAAAAAAAGTACTTCAAACAGACCACGACGAACAAGAACGCTGGATCCACAAACACCCGAGAAAAGCTACAACGGCGACGAATCCACTGACCCCGACCAAGCGAGCTCGGCAGATAGGCCTAGCAGGCACTCCGACTCGGCGCAGCGTTGCTTCAACGGTACTTGGCCAGGACCGCCTGCCTACGACCGGCTGGCGTGCTGAATGGAATATGCCTGCGTGACCCTTGTGGACCATTCCCGTATTATAGTTTGATCGCTGACCTCAATTTTAGATTAAGAGGTGAGGTCAATTTCTTCCCCTTGCTTTCTGAGGCAGTGTTGACGAACACTGTCGTCGAAAAGGGACTCTCGTCGATTCTATATTCTTGTTTTGTGTGATATAGAGCTCAAATAAACGCCGTATGTATTACCTCAGTAACACGGTATGTACACTTTGTTATTAGTATGCCAGTTTTATTCTGACAGACTGCACGTCACTGTCGAGCTATAACGGTTCGTGGGAGGTATACGTGCAATGCCGGTCCAACCTTCCTTTGCCGAGTGTCACGTCAGTATCGAGTTGCAATCGTAAAAGATCGGTCCCGAAGCGCTGACGAACAACGCGCGCGTCCGCTCTGAGTGCGAACAGGTATTTACGTGGCCCTTGGTGACACTGTCGTAGTTCAAACGTATCTTTTTTTAACGTCGGCTCGCTCCTGCATCTCCGAGGCCGCGAAAACGCAGCGGCAATTTGTTTTCATCTACGACGCTTTGCAAACGACTGACACGGGCCGCCTTTTGCCAGCAATGACAGTTGGGTTGACTTCTGGACTCTTCACCGGAAGACTCGCCGCAATTCCCAACAGGTATACCGGCGTATGGGACTAGTCCCATGTTGTCGCTGTAGCGCAACATATCTCATTGAATTTCGCTCAGCTGCGATGTGTCCATGTCTATCGCGGCGATGAGAGGCGCCGATTAAGAAAATACATCAGTGACTTGTTTTGCGGTCAGTTTGACAGAAAGAAAAAGTCGATATGTCATTAATTTTTCTGTGTAGAAGTTAATAAACCGAGACAAAAACGGGTGCCTATTTGGTATTCAGTGAACGCTGAAGGTTTAATGTAAAAGTTATCTTGAAAAAGTAAAAAGGTAATTTCACGGTCCCTTTAAATAACGTTGATCCCAAGAAATGTGCTGGTACTAATTCCATTCATAATGAGTTTTTTAAACGTTACGCAGAGCGGATTTCGAACTATCTATTCATACTATTGAAGGCGTCTTTGCGTTACCGGGTACGGTTTTAGATCATTATCTACGAGTACCCAGTTGATCGAACTAGTTCATGAGCTTTCAAATTCAATAAATAATAGGAGTCAGACAAACCTCATGTTTCTTGACTTCTCAAAGGCGTTGGATCACGTATTGAATCCTCAACTCCTCCTGAAGCTTTCTGACATATTTAAAAATAATCAATTACTTACTGTCTAATAGAACGCAACATGTATATCTTGATGATAAGTTACGTGCAAAATCACAAGTGATTTGCAAAATGCATGTTAGTATTTTGCACGTCGCCCTCTTGTATAGTATGTATTGATATATGCCTCGAATATGTATATCGATGTGTTTAATTTTTGGTTTCAAAAGTGCTTATTTGTATTTTACTTGCTGTACTTTCCACTCCTGCTTGGGTCATCCTTTGGCCTGCAGTATGTTCTAAAGAAAAAAGAAAGACTTCCTCACTACTTCCGGTAACATTGGGCGTACCACAAAGTTCAGTGTTGGGGCATCTTTTATTCTTAATTTATATCAGTGACATGGTTAAGAACATTTATGTTCCGGTTAATTTATTCGGTGACGACTGTGTCCTTTACTCTCAAATAAAATTACCTTATGATCAGGTAATACTCAATGAGGCATTAGCAAGAATCAAAGAATTGTCAGACAAATGGAAAATCGAAATAAACTATGATAAAACCGTTAAAATGTCAATAACATGAAAAAAGCATTTTTTGAAATTAGCTATTCAATAAATGCGAATCTCATCAAATTTGTTCACCCCTACAAGTACCTTGGACTGACAATAAGTAGTTAACTACTTTGGAACCAGCATATAGATGACATAGCAAATAAGGCCAGGTGAAAATTGTGTACACTTCGACGCACCTTAAAATTCGCGGACAGCGAAACAAAATAGGCTGCTTACCAATCACTAGTACGTCCTATACTGGAGTACGCTCACACAGTTTGGTACGCGCACACAGCCGATGGAATTAATAAACTTGAACGCGTGCAAAAGCTGGCTTTGAGATTTATAACTAATAATTTCAGATATACTGTTTCTGCGTCAAGCTTACTGGAACAAGCCAATATCCAGCCCTTGGAGGTTAGAGCAAAAATAAACAGATTGAAAAATCTATATTCTTTTATTAATGGAATCTTTATGTCAATAGTGATAGATACATCGAATTTTCAACAAGAGGTTTGGCTAAAAAATTATACTAGAACTATTAAACAATATAGAACTAAGCACATTGTCTTCAAATATTGTTTTTTTTCCCTCGGACAATAAACGAGTGGAATTCTTTGTCTAACGAAACGGTAATTAACCCTTCCGTCAATTAATATTTTTGTTGAGGCAGTCGCTTCTGCCAAGAGAAAGTGCTCGTAAA